AAGCTCTACACTGTTCAAGTGATCTTGGACAAGATCTTAAAACTTAGTTAACAGGGGTGGAACCTGGAAGAGCTCAGGATGGGTAACTGCCCATAGTTGCCCATCTTGAAATCTTTTTTTTCCCCTTCAAAATAATTATTCCATCTTACCCACTTTCAATAAATATATTTCCCCAAATTCTAAGAAAAAATTTCTTTTATGTTATATACATAAAATTATGCATTTCACAATCTTATTTTACTCGTCCTCAAAAAAGAAGGTAGTTCTGCCCTTGCTAATTAATGCTACTTTCTAAACCAGCACTTGAAGCTTTATTGATTAGTGATGAACTTTATAATCTCCTATGTCATGAACATTATTTGATGTCAACATAACGTTTCTCTTTGGACTTCAAGGAAACTCTTTGTTGAATTATCATTAGGTACAATATTTTAATATCTTGACACACTTCTAAGTCCCAAATGAGAATCACTCATATTTCTTCAGATTAGGCAACTAATAAGAAAAAATTATCTTTTAAGACTTCTTTGTTGCAAAGTCTCAAAAAATGCACAAACAATCATAAATAGTTAGGAGATTTTATTATTTGCTTTTGATGCTTAGTCTTTTATTGAAAAGTTTGTTCTTTGCTCTGGGCAATGTTGTATCTGCTTAACCCACTTGTGATGCCTTATATTCTATCATATCACATTTACTTAAGTTTCTTTTGTAATGGCCTTTTTACTATTTTTTAAAGCAAATTTTTCGTACAAAATTTTTATTTTTTTACTAAAAAGCAGATTTAGAAGCAGTAAAAAATCAGTCCCAAACGAAGCCTCAGGCTATGTTTGAGATATATGATTTTATTACTATTTTCTAAAGCAATTTTTAATATAAAATTTTTGAATTGAAAATAATTTGTACCAAAATGCTGCTTTAGAAAACAATAAAAAATTTGTTCCAAATAAACTTAAATAATCATAAAAACTATAGGTGATCTTCCAACTGAGAACTCAGAGCATTGTTACAACAACATTTGAGAATATTATTAATGGAAGCATAAATTTGATACATATGAGATTCAGGCTTGGTTTGGGACGGCTTTCTTACTGCTTTCTAAAACGGAGTTTTAGTTCAAAATTTTTTATTTTTGTATTAAAACTTTAGAAATCAATGAAAAAGTCGTCCCAAACGAAGCCTCAATCTCATAATCATATGAAGAGTAAAAGCACAATAAAAATCCTCTTTAGCTTATTCATAATTTTTTCGAGAAAGAGAGAAATAAGAAAAGAGTTCAGACTCAATGGTTCAAACAAGGCCAAAACAATTCTTTAGCTTGATCAGCTTATGTAATACATAGGGTCCGGCAGCTTGAAGGTGCGCTCACCTTCCGGTGAGCCCAAGATATCGCTCCACTGATCACCGATATTTCCCACGATTTTGTAACCTTGTTCGGTCAATTTTAGCCTCTCCGCCGATTTATATTGCAGCGCAGTTATCGTCACCTCATTCGCTTTTCTTAAATAAAAATAATAAAACAGTATTAAAATGGAAATTTTCACCTTTTTTTTTGTATTTTTTAATAATTATAATAAAACTACGCACCTCAATATGAGCTTTTCCCAGGAGTGGTAACCAGCCCTCTTGAGATTAAGAGCTGTGATCTCTCTGTCCTTCTCCGTCCTCCCCGTGAGAAACACAACCTTTATCCCCAACGAGAGCACTTCCTTATACAGCTTTAGACTCTCCGGCAGCGGTGGCGCCGCCCCCTTCGCCGACCACTCATCGAATAGTGTATCATTGATCGGCTCCACTCTGACACAATCATCAGTGATATAAATTCAAAAACTATAACTAAATTTTGCATATGATTTTTTCATGATCAGAAAAAAAAAAAAACCTCATCCGCAAATAAGAAGATGCTAAGCCCATATTGATATTATATTTGGTTTGTAATATTCAAAAAAAAAAAAATATGAATGAGATATAGGGTTTATTTTGGATGATTATAATTTTTTTTATAAAAGTGATTATAAACTCTTACAAAGAAAATAATTTTTTTAGAAAACTGATGTAGAAAATAGCTTCCTCGTATAAAAAAATTATTAATAACAGTTAAAAAAATAACGGTCAAATAAAAATTATGCTTGCGTTATGAAAATCAAAGCTGTCCCGAATGAAAGCATATAGTATATTTAAATGACTACAGTATTTTGAAATATTGGTTTGAAAATCAAAGCTGTCCCAAATTTTGCAGCCAGAGTTTGAAAAGCAAAGCAAAAAAAAAAAAATCTAAAAAAAATCCATATTTTTTAAAATCTTCACATGCACAAAATTACTTATATATAATTCTAATAGATCTTGCTAGAAATATTGATAATATATACGCAAATGATTCAACAATACCCGAAGCCATGCTTGGAGAAGAAAGGTAAGTTAGATAGGGAAGTCTCGTCAATATCAAAGATCCAAACATCCTTTCCATTGCCGGAAAGCTGAAGCTCTCGAGCATACTTTGCGGCCTCCTTCGTAACCATGCTGGAGTCCTCTCTGTACCTCTGACCTAAGAGATAATGGCCGAAATAGGACTCGCATGTAGCGGGAACTGAGTCCCAATCACGCAAGTTATTGGTCTCCACGGCGAGTTGCCAGCTTGAGCACGACAAATTCTTTACTTTCATGGTCGAGCCTGCGGAGCCAGTTAGCCGGCGTAGAGGGTGGATTTGATGTGATGGCATTTTGTTAAAGGCGTCACGGCGGCATTCTGCTAAGGAGAAGGAGAGGAGGAGGAGAGAGAGGGAAATGGAGAAGGGAAGGAGATGCATGGTGAAAATAAGGGTTGAAAAGTTTGGAGAGTTGTGGGGGTTTTTATAGGTGGAGATATGATTGGTTTGGTCTTATGATGCATTGATTTTTTTTGGAACGGAGAGTATCAGCACGATGTCCGTTAGTCTCGTCGGCTGATCTAGACGAGCACCCTACGTCTATTATTACTCGTGATCTGTACTTATTGGGTCCCCCCTAGAGGGGGTGTTGCTGCATGAGGGACTCGAGCATGAGTTGGGGGTTCCCAACTGCACTCACCCACCAATTACCAAGCTAAGCATTAGTGGATTTATGATGCATTGATATGAACGCAAAGAGACTGATATGATAGAATATGAATATGAGGGATCTATTAAAAAAAAAGAATGAGATAAGTTGGTGCCATATGTTCGATATGCTTCATCATTATGAAGTATCATTGCATCGTATATTTGATATTCGGGTGTGTAAATCCTTAGGAAAAAGATCGAAAATTGACAAAACTAGGTTTTCATGAGAAGGAAGATTTCTACAATCTATGGTATTTGTTATTAGCTTCTACGGTACAACACAATTTTTTATTTAAAATAATCTTGTTTTTATTTGTTCAAATTTTAACGCATCTAGCTTAGCATTTTGTTGGTTCAAACCATCAGCATTTTGTTGGTTCAAACCATCAGGACTCTCTAATTGGTAATGATAAAAGAAAACTAATGTATAATTTATAATATTTGTCACAATCAAAGTTCCTCCTGTCTTCTCCCTCTTCTCTCTTTATTTTTAATCTCCTTGCATGTGAGGACAAATTCCTATGAATGAAAATATAATATGAGTTTTTTTTTTTTTTAATATTTACTTAAGAATCTCAAATTAGAAAGATTATATATAAGAAATTCAAAGGTAAACATATTGATCCAATCCCATTTAAGATATTTGAATCAAATTTAACTTGATTCAGACTTACTGATCTCGAATTCGACTCATTTGACGAATTTTTATATAACACGTACCAAATTTTAAATAAAAATGACCCATTTAATTCAAATATGACCTATTTAATTTAAAAATGACCCATTTAATCCAAACCTGGCTAATAAAAAGATGAATTTCAAACTATTTTGAATTTCGGGTCAATATGAATAGAACCGAAAATTAATTGGATCAATAATTTTTGCCCTGACATTTCAGAGTTTTGCTGGCCATAACAATGAAATTATATTAAGAATAATTAATATAAATTATTCAAGATTAATATCACATGTCTTTGGCCAATACCATGGCTTTAACAACAATGCAAAGAGTTTTAGAGTCCAAAGATCCAAAATTGAGAAGAATCCATCAACAATAAGCTAAGTTTGGGTACTTATTCACAAGAGAGTTTGAAGTGATATTCACTTGAGAATCCTAATTGTCAATCTTTAATGACATTAAAGGACTAAATATTCTACATATGATGAATCAAATATAAGAAACTAAAGATAAATTAGCTGATCTAATCTAATATTTAGTTGATCTTCAATTACTATTTTTTAAAGAGAATATAAAATTCTATAAATGATAATAGTTAGGACTCTCATAGCCTATTATTCTCATTATTGTGCTTTTTATTTTTTTATTTTTTTGGCTTCTTATAGAATACATCAAATATTCTATTTGAGACCGCTACAATATTTTATAAATGTGGCTTGTGGAGTTATTGAAGGCAAAATATTTTTTTTTGGAAATGACCATGGATATTAAGGTTTTGCTTGAGACAACTTTCTAATTGCTTTTTAAAGCAGATTTCTAGTACAAAAATTTCTAGTTCATGAAATTTTTGTATTAAAAATTTGGTTTAGAAAATAATAAGAAAGTTGTCCCAAATAAAATCTAAATCTTTTTTGAAAAATAGAATAGTTACTTTCTTAAAGCTATGTTATAATAGCACCTATGATTGTAAAATCCTACTTTCTACCACATAAATTTCTTGAAAACAAGGAACCAAAACAAAAATAGTAGATAATTGAGATTATAGTTGTAGTATGAAAATCAAAGCAATGAGAAATTAGTCTCAAATGGCCCTTAGTATTCGTTTGGAATAGTTGTAGCTTTTTGTTTAAGTGGTTATAAAACTATTGTAGAGAAAGTAACTTTTTTGAAATATGTTGTTAAAAGCAGTTTTATTGTACACGAGTTTCCTAAAAGCAGCGAAAAAGTACTTTTTCAAATAGAAATTGTAGCTACGATGTGAAATGAAAAACAATAAAGGCTTCATTTGAGATAGCTTTTGTCCACTTCATTGTTATCAAGATATTTTGTGGTAGAGAACTGCTTTAGAAATCTGTAAAAAAAGATTTCCCAAACGAAGGCTCAGGCATCATTTGCAATGACTTTCTTATTAATTGATTCTTCAAACGACTTTTTAGTGCAAAAATTAAATTTTTTTCCACTAAAAAGCTGCTTAAAAAAGAAGTAAGAAAGCCATCCCAAATGAAGCCTTAAACTCTTGCTCTTCAAACCTAAACAAAATTATCATTGGAGATATGTGCCAGCCTGCGTAGACTTGCTCTTCCTTATATGCCATTCCCAAAGACAAATAATGAACTAGCTCGAGAACTAAGCTTGTTTTATAAAGAGTAATTTACAAGAAATAAAATGTGTAATGTTTTGAAATTTATTTTAAACATAGTTAATTATGTTATATTAATCTAAAAATAAATTTAAATTTTTTAAAATCATTTAAATCAAATTTTAATATAGATCATATCCTCTCACATTTCATCCCTAATTTTTATCACTATATTTTATTGAAAAAGTAGGTTATGATATCCTCATTAAAAATTTTGTCGGCATGTATTTCATAACTCTTACATATATTTTGAAATTGATGTAATATTAATTATTTATATACATAAATTTAATAAAGACTTAACTGAAAAAAAAGTATTAAAAATGTTATAGATTGCTAGCTAGAAATGAAATAAATTAATTCTTCTGTAAAATAAATAAAAAATAATATTATGAAAAATTATAGTAGTGCAAAATAAGAAAAATAAAATTATAGTTAGGCTTCGTTTGGGATGATTTCTTACTTTTTCTTAAAGCAGTTTTTTCATACAAAATTTAAAATTTTTATACTAGAAGGCTAATTTAAGAAGCAGTAAGAAAGCCGTCCCAAATGAAGCCTTAAGCAGCAATCAAGTTATTTAGATGGCTTACTTAAATTATTTATGTTATATATTTTTAAAATTAAAATTATTATTCATGATGTGGGTACGTAGGACACATAATTCATTAATGTTTTTTTTTTTTTAATAATTGGACTGATTGAAGGTGTGTTTGAAATTTGTCAGATGCATGTAAAGTACATATACACATAATCCATTAATGATTTGATCATTCAAAAATGTAAAAAAATCTAAAGATATAAAGATAAAATTTTAAAATACTTTATGATTAATTTTATAGCAGATTTTTTTTTGTTAAAACCCACAAAAGGGCCTACGCGTTAACATAAAAAAAAGGTTACAAGGTCCTTAATAGGAACCTCCACCTTGCTAATGCTCAGAAGAGCTACAAAAAAAAAATAAAAAAAATCTAGAAGCCGGTGGTTCCTAATACTAAAGATTATAAAAAGACCTAAGAACATTCTAAGGCTACAAGTCAACAACACCCAAAAAAGGAATTATAAAATCATAGCAATAAGCACAAAACTTATGCAAAAAGATAAATCAAACCTCCATTATCTCTGGCCTTTCAAACTCACATGCTTCCTTCCAGAATCAAGCAACCCACAAAACGCCCGCCAAATCTGCAAAAAATACAACCTCCAACACAAATTTGAAATGCATAATGCAAGTGATAAGGAAGTGAAAAATAGATCATTAAAAACCAATTGGACATGTCCAAACCCTCCTTACGAGCCAAACCAAAAGGATTGATAAGATGGAAGGGCCAAAACCGAAGAGCCCATCTGATAATAGTCATGGGATTGTAATTTAAACTAAAGCACTAATTAATATCCAACCACCTCATCATCCAGCTTTTCCCAAACTCATTCCCACCAAAACAAACAGAAAAAATATACTACCCCTTGATAAACAAATACATATCGCAGTGGACCAACATGAAGGTAAGAAAGAGCCCATTAGCTTCCACCTAAACAAAAAACTACAATAGAAAGAACTTAAACTCCTATGATCAGCTACAGGAAAGCAAAAAAATCACTTCCTCTAGACAAAAAAGTAAAAAAAGGATCCTAAAACCAACAACACCGCCTTAAAATCCTCCCAGCAAGCCCACCCAAATAAAACCCTACCCAGCAAAAAAAGAACAAAGACCATAAAACCACAGATTAATGGTGTCACATATAGGGTAAACCACTACGATCCAGATTAACTGGCCCTTTAACCAAAGAAGGAATTTCATTCTCATTAAATTCAAAGAATACAGGATTGCTACAACCCAGTTTGGCCAAAGCATTAGCACACCCATTTCTCTCACAGTAAAAGTGGGAGATTTTAAAATTAATGCATGAAAGACCCTACTTCATCTGTCTAACCAGATAAAAATTCTCTGCATTAAATAAATGAGAATTGTTAATATAGTGTAAAATAAGCATAACATTAACCTCAATCCAAACCTTGTTAATACCTAACTTTATACATATATTGATGACGTAAATGAGATCATGCATCTCAGCCATAAAACTAGAATTACCAGAAACAGGGCCAGCGAAACATTTAATCACCTTGCCATACTAATTTATCAAAATACCACCACAACCAGCCACCTTCCTGTTATAAGAACCATCCGTGCTACACTTGATCCAATCAATACCCAATTTGAGCCAACTAATGATCCTATCCTTTCTATCTTTGTAAGGTGATATGTTAGAAATGCTAAAGTGAGTAGCCACCTTGTAACACCCTTTGAAATTATTAGAATTAATGAGATTGGAAACATAAAGCATTATGATTTTATCACAAATACAACAGATGATACGAGAAACGTTCATCTTGATCCC